GGCGGGGTCGAGGTTGAAGTAGCCATCTTTCAAAAGGTAAGACCGCAGTCACTAATGTCATGTAATTGAGTAACGAGTGAACGCTACGGTCAAGGCAAGAACGCTTCACATTTATACTCATTTTCTTTGCTTTGACAACTGAGTGTTGTGAAGCCGGGTTCAGGAGACAACGATGAGGCTGAGACTGGTTACTCTGGGTTTTGGCGACACGTCCAATCAAAATTGGGCATAATAATGCCAAAAATAAAGCCCACCATACTCTTCAGCGCACCGGCTGACTCTTCGCCCGATTCCGTTAATGGTCTCATCTGGCGACGCAACCAATCCTACTAGTCTTAACTGTGTGTGGCATAAGCCAGAATGCGTGGCTCAGCTCCTTGCTGACTGTGCACGAATTCACTTCTCACCTAGGGCTGATGAGGACATTTTCAAGGGTCCAAGTTTGGCTGTAAAAACGTGCAGGATCTAGCCAAGTAGCTAAATTGATCTGCATTCCTTGCATCCAAAAGCCTTAGAATGGCCTCATTGATGTGAAAGTTGACGCTACTCATAGAAAGCCATCCCCAGGTTGGTGTATTTGGCACTATCAACTTTGCATAGGCTGCCAAAAAGGGCTACTTGTGCGTTTTTGCATCCGTCTCTTTGCCTGTTGGTGTATTCTTGAAGAGTTACTCGATAAGCATACAACCTCCACATTCATACAGTTTCGAGGGCTGAGAAGCAAGTGAGTTGACCTTCATTCTGGGCTCCACGATATTTCTATGGCCACATGGGCACTGGAACAAGCGCGACTTCATCATTATGCAGCTTATCCCTCGCCTCCGAAAGCAAGCACTACGGCAGCCGGCACTTTTCCAGGGCATCAGTGGCAGCAACACGGAAAACCGAGACACAATGACTGCTTCGTGTTCCATTGGTTCAAGCGGCATCAAACCAGGAACCACAGTGAGCCACTTTCAGGGTGCCAATTGGCATCTACTGGTTTATGACAATACGCCATACCAGGAGAGAGGTCGAACCATCTGGTGAAGGGCCTATTAGCATGGCCTAGTCAGGCCTAGTCACGGCAGGTTGCTCATTGCAAGGCTATGAGAGCCTAGAGGTTGGTCGAGTCTCCTCGAGCCTGCGAGACGGAATAGCCACCAGCTCAACTAACTCCCTTGCAGACATGGGCCAATGAAATGCTGCAGCGTGTATTGCATGTGAGCTTACGTGATTATGCTGCACGGCTGCTACCTACCTAGGTGGGTAGGTAGGTATAGTGTTCGGTCCTGCGAAGCGACGAGCAATGGTGTAACGAGCGCGTTCATCGCAGCGGGAGTTCGCTGTCCCCTCTTTACATCTTGTACGTTTGGAACCCATGAAATTATGAATCAGCAGGCTGTTGACAAGAGGGCTAATTCGCGGACGATAGGTCCGAGGTCCGCCCTGGCACGCCGTGAATAATGCTGTTATATTCGCCGCAGTCCAAGACACTTCACGATTATTGAGATGACCTCAGCTTTGGTGGGAGCCTTGAGCTGGATTCTGCTCGATGACCTTCAAGCTGATGAGATTTTCGAGGGAGATTCGGCCGGCCCAACTGACAAGAGTCAGTACTTCCGAAGGGAGGATGCGACATTTCGGACGCATGGGTGACGTTACAAAGCCAACCCAGATACCCTCGAAAGCTTAGCGGATGTAAGGCTTTGGTTCTGATGTTCACGACGCAATTCAGGGGGGGAAGATAACCTGGGCATCTACGAGCTAATTTAGGTGTCACTCTCGGAGGGCAATTTGATCCGCTCCGTTAAAAAAGTAGAGGCCAATGTATCCCGAGGCTCGGGGCTCGCCACTCAGTATCCATATAGCACCGAGGCATTGCCTGTCCCCACCCGCCGATGTTTACAAATCAAGATGGCAAAGGTTGCAGAAATTCAAGTTCTGGACACCCTTCCCCTTTTTTTTCTAGCTTCAATAGATCATCTATTCGTATACTCAAGCCTCGGCACAATCGTCGAAATACCGTGCTGCCAAATAGGCTTTGGCCACTTGCTTTATTGTACTGCATAGGTAGTATACTTCTAGATGGGCCTGACGGTCTGGCAGATTTCATTCAAGGGACAACCTGGTAACATGAAATCCGTGCAGCCAAACAGTCGCAGCACTGGTCTTCCTCCACATTCGCGCGGCATTTGACAGCGATGGCAGCACGCAAGTCCCCCAAAACGAAAAAGCGCCACAATAATGTCTTGAAAAGCCTGGGGAAACCGGTAGTGGAGATAGCTAGCCTAGAATCACGTCACAGGTGCGAACGAGTTCTCTGACGTTCCGCGAATTTTTGGTGTGATGATAAATCAGACCCGGCGTTCCCCTGACTCGGATTGAACATCATTACATTCAAGCATTCAAATATAAACCGTTCCCGACTTTCATCGACCTCGAGATTTGGGTTACACAGGATCTGCATACTTGTTCCTTTATTACTTGTCAATTGATACCCAAAATACGATACAACTCCTACGCCATCATCATGTCGACCCCCAACAAATCTTTTATTTTCAAGAAGGTCCCCAAGGGCTTCCCAGTCCCCGGACAGGACCTTGTTACCGAGGAGCGCAGCATTGACTTAAATGCCGCTCCCGAGGGTGGCCTCATCGTCAAGAATCTGGTTGCTTCACTCGATCCCTACATGCGCGGCCGCATGCGAGACCCAGAGACCAAGTCATACAGCGCGCCATTAGAACTTGACGCGCCAGTCCAGTCCGACTGCGTGGCAATCGTTGTCAAGTCCAATGTGCCAGATTTCAAGGAGGGCGACATGGTGAAGGCGTTCACCGGGATTGCAGAGTACGCGGTCGTGCCAAAGGAGATCATCGCCGGAGGCCGTGTTAACAAAATCAACAACCCCTTCAACCTTGAGCCCGGTCTTTTCATCGGACAATTGGGCATGCCGGGTTTGACGGCCTGGTCGTCACTGTACGAGATTGGAAAGCCCAAGAAGGGAGAGACAATTTTTGTAAGCAGTGCAGCTGGTGCAGTTGGCCAGGTCGTGGGCCAAATCGCAAAGCACGAGGGCCTTCGCGTTATCGGCTCAGTGGGCTCGGATGAGAAGGCAGAGTTCATCACTAAGGAGTTGGGCTTCGACGCCGCTACCAACTACAAGAAGGAGTCGCCGGCCGACGCACTGAAGAGACTTGCACCGGAGGGAATCGACATCTACTATGAGAATGTTGGTGGAGAGACACTTGACGCTGCTATTGGTGCGATGAAGGACTATGGCAGAATCGTGGCCTGTGGAATGATCTCACAAGTAAGTTCTTATACGCTACAGCTTTCCTCTTCGCATTGGTGGCTTTTCATTGTCTCTATTTCAAAATGTCCTGTTCTCAAAATCCGCTGAGCTTTCTGACGATGACTCTGTCGTCCGGACCCATTCGTGTGCAATTTACTGACATGCGCCAATTAGTACAACGTCAAAGATCCTAGCGAGCGCTATGGCGTTACCAACTTGATGATGGTTGTCTCCAAGCGTATCACCATGCGGGGATTTATTGTTAGCGACAAGGATATGGGACCCAAGTACTACGCCGAACACCAGGAGAAGATGCAGAAGTGGTTGCACGAAGGCACTTTCAAGGCCAAGCTACACGTCACGGACGGTCTGGACAAGGCTGCGGAGGGATTTGTCGGTCTGCTGAAGGGAGAGAATTTTGGCAAAGCCGTCGTGAAGATTGCCGATGCTTGAATAGTTAATGTCGTGGATTTTCATCTATCAGAGCGCGGTGCAGGACAAATTATTACAGCCTATGAAGGGGACCAAACTTGTGGGTGCTCGTTCAAAGATTGTCCCAGAAGCACTCTTCAGTGAGAGCGTGAACTGTGTGAAGCATTGGTCACTGGACGAGTTGGATTCTTTGAATGATCATTAGAGCTTCTCATGGTCTAGATAGTCAGAGTATAGCCGTCATAAGTCTTACAATGGTTTCTCAACGCACGGGCTCTGTAGGGCTGTATCTTGGCAAATTTGGATGCGCGTCCACACTTGAGGAGGGCATCCATCTGGTGGCGTTACTTGAGATACCAGTGATCACAAGGGAAAACCTGGAAAATCGACTGGGCCCTGTTGAACATGCGGTAATACGGTCTAAATTTTATCAGCATAGATAACTTGATTGACTTGCTCGACTGGAGTCTTCTAAACCACATGAGCACATATTCACGGAAATATGCTTGTTATTTCATTGGCCAGTCATATTTTGAAGCTCAAGTCTAAAGCATTTCCTCGACTTCGACAGCTTCATCTCCACTCACGTCTTTCCACGAATTCACAATCACCATTATTTTCTATTCTATACACGCTTGGAAAGGCCTGGACTAATACGGTTGAGAATGAAACGAGAGTCTTCCGATTCCCTAGTACCTACTTGAATATGCAATAGTCACCAGCTGTTGAATGGGCTTTATAGTACGCACGTACAAAGGCATAATCACAGGTAAAAGCAATATAACAAAACAGTAGGTTCAATTCATCATGTCCTAAGAACGTGGAACTAGAAATAGTGATCTACACGGACGACCTTTTATGCCCCCGGCTGATTATGTCAGCCAGATCCCGTCCGTACGTCTAGGGATCCGTACAGAGCCGCAAAACCACTGCCACTATTCCAACACCAGCATATATATCATGTATGACATAGAATGGCCTTCAAGTCGATCCTCCTATAGAGTATACTCAAGGAAAATAGAATGTCAACTCCAATAGGTCGTAGCCTAACGGACCCCAAGTAATCTTAGCCAACATCTCTGCCATAGCATTAAGTAAAGTCCCTTTACTGTACAGGATACTATACGTCGACAGGATTATTAAATTAGGGCCAGGGTCCGGGTCTGCGGCAGTCTAGACCTTACACGACAGCACGAGTCTTGGTTTCTCCACCACACCACGGCCTCCCCACCGCCACTCTTTGAGACAACACTACATGAGTTTTTCTTTCTCCACCCGCTCCAACAACAAATCAGCCCTTATGGCGTAGTGGTAGCGCGTGGCACTTGTAACCCTTGATCGTCGAGGATGATTTAAATTAAATAAATCATCCACAACACGACAAGGTCTCCAAAATGCCAAGGTCATTGGTTCAAACCCAGTTGGGGGCATTCTTTTTTGATTTTTATCCTTAAATCTTGATTTTTTGGATTTTATCTCGAAGATTTGGAGGTGGAGAAATTGAATTGGATCGATGAAGTGTGGAGGACATAGGGACCTCAGGATGGCTGCTACTGCTGAAGATGATGTCGTAGCTTCAACTCCCGTAGAGTCCGGAAACTTGCCCGGAAATAATAACATAACTCAACAGGTAGGTGATGGTTCACGTTTGTTTGAGGTATCGCGACTTTCCTGTTACGGTAATTAGTGGGTCTCGCTTCGATTGCTATACGGTGAGTAAGAGGAGCTCGTGGTGCCCTGAAAGGAAAAAGACTGGCATGATTCCAAGGATAATTTTATCAACTTGTTCAACAAAGTAGATGGAAAGCGGGGTTTCACAGCGGAGTTTGATATAGCTAATCCATGTTTATCAGTGGGATGGTGTGATGAGTAACACCGGTGATATCTTAATTGGTGACTATTCATTCGTGGCAACTTGATTTTCCAACGATGTGGAAGCGCTATTGGATAACTGTTTGACATCATCAGAAAGATCTCATCAAGATCTAAGGATAAAAATCAAAAAAGAATGCCCCCAACTGGGCGTCCAAAAACCTAGTCATACATATCTTACGAGCGAACGCTTTATATCCGGAGTGGTCTGCTACGCGACCTCGCCCTACTGCATGTGAAACGATGGACAGAGGAAATTACAATGAACATTCATTCCCTCGAAAAATGCGCTTCTCATTGTATCATGGCTGGCGAGCAACGATGTTGCTAGGTTAACCTCTTCCTTCTCTACGCACGGACCACATGTATACACGCGCAGGGATGTATTGTCTGGTGAATGGGAGAGCAATCGTCAAATTGCTTGAGATTCGGCACCTTGAAAAATGATTTTAGGCATCGAGCTACTCTTGACGCCAAACGTTTCTTCTAACATCACGATCAACAAAATGGCCGCCAATATCGTTGGGCCTGTGATGGCCGTGCCTAACGAGCCATTCAACCGACTTCTCAAGAATCGCCGAAACACCAGCACGATTTCAGCGATCGAAGCTGAGGATCATGCAACGGATCCGTGGTGCTCTGCCTTGGACCCCTTGCGCCAGCGGTCCGCCGAGTATTTTGAAGCCCGACGACGAGCCCGGGAGCTGCCCGCCGCGAACGCGAGGGACGCGTTCATGCGAAAGCTCCAGAAAGAGAGGATCCTGATCGTAACTGGTGCAACGGGATGCGGCAAGTCTACACAGCTGCCACAATTCATGTCAGTTTGATCAATCCTCACTTGCGCTTTGAGCCTGCCCGTGTCGTTTATCGTCTGATTAGATATAACAGCATGTACGATGAGCTGCCTCAAGCTGGCCACCAAGCACCAAAAATTGTCTGTACACAGCCGCGTCGTATAGCGACCAGAGAGTTGCCTCGCCGCGTCGCCCTCGAGATGGGTGTTGAACTTGGCACCACAGTAGGATTCAAGTATCGAAACGAGGAGGCGTACGATGGCAATGAGACTCGCCTCGTGAGTATCAAGCCAACACCCCTCACCTCCATCGAGCGTGACAATGAGCTAAAGCATCTTACTAGGTATATATGACAGACGGCAGACTGCTCGCTGATCTCGTCAGCGACCGCTTCCTGAAGAGGTACAGTTGTGTCATTGTGGACGAGGCCCACGAACGGAACGCGCAGATCGACCTGCTGCTGGGTTTGTTGAAGAGGCTTGTACTAGCACGAAAAGACCTGAGATTGATCATCATGTCCGCCACGATGGACGCTTCCTTATTCAGCGAGTATTTCGGTGGCGCGAGTGTCTTTCATATTCCCGGGCGCACATTCCCAGTACAGGTGAACTTCCTAGGCAACGACAAGGACAAGCCTGAAAAGACTGGGCGAGGTGTTTTGGCACGAGCAGATTACGTCGAGAGCGCGGTGAAGGCTGTGATGACGATTGTCACCACGCCAAGTCTGGACGAAGGTGACATTCTGGTGTTCGTTGCCGGTAAGCGGGATATCACTACTGTCATCTCGGGCATCAAATACGAGCTGGCCCTTCTGAAAGTGGACAAGCTCGTTTGTTATCCTTTCCACGGCGAGCTCTCCAATGAAGAGCAGAATAAGGCGCTCGCCGACAATACCACCCGTCGGTGCATCGTCGCGACGAAGATTGCCGAGACTTCGGTGACTATAGATGGTATCGTCCATGTCGTCGTAAGCCAACCAGGTGTTCTCTCATCTTCAGCGGACCCAATACGTTCACTAACATATTCTGGTCATCAAGGACTGCGGTGTCTCGAAAGAGATGGTATACAACCCGCGCCTGAAGTTGTATACGCTTCATGTTGAGCCTATCAGCAAAGCCGCGGCGAAGCAGCGTGTTGGTCGAGCCGGCCGTACGAGAAACGGGTTCTGTTGGCGTCTATACTCCCAGTATCACTTCGATACAGTGATGTCGGACAACCCGCTGCCCGGGCTGTTGCGCGACGATTTGGCGGATGCTGTTCTCAAGCTTTTGTCTATCACGGAAAACCGTACGGCGGAAAACATCATGACCTTCCCTTTTATCACCAAGCCGGCACCCGAGGTGATGTTGCGGACCTGGTGGGAGCTCCAGGCCATCGGGTGCTTTGACTCACGGGCTACATCACTCCAATGGGTCGTTACGCCAGCAAGATGCATATCTCGCCGAAGTACGCCATGGCCGTGCTCCGGGCTAGCCATGCAGACCCTTCACCGACGTGGGAGGTTGCCGCGATCATAGCATTGCTCGAGGAGGGACTCAATTTTCTCACGGGAAGGTCCATGTAATGGATTTGCAGACGTCGTGAGAGACAAGATGTCAAGCGCTGTGGGTATGTAATACCGAATGTCCATGGTTCACGCAATATCCACAGTCTCGATCATTTTACTGACCATCATGTTCTCTTAGGAGATCACTTTACCCTTCTCAACATCTGGAATGCTTTCTTTTTCGAGCTGCAAAAGCTGGAGAAGTCTAAGCACATGACTCGAGCCCAAAGAGATCGTCACATCGAGGAGTGGTCACTCGAAAACTATCTCGACAAGACCGCCCTCCAATCTGCCAAAAACACTTTCGATCGCGTCATCAAGTTCATCATGAAGGAGGAGATCGGCCACTTCGATGATAACCGTCCGCCACTGCCAGCCGTGAAAGTAATCGGTACTCCGATGTACTATGTAGCGATCAAGAAGTGCCTACTACAAGCCTTCTTCACTGAAATCGCAGTACACGAGACAAAAGTCGGCGGTGAAAATGACTATCGCCTCCTTGTTGAGAACCAGTCTGCGCGTGTTCATCCAGCAAGCGTAGTCGCTTCGGGCTACAAACCCGACTTCGTGTTTTTCGATAAGTTGTTGGATCAGGGCAAGGCTTACTACTGGACCTGCACTGGCTTCGAGTCTCGATGGCTCTTCGAGGACCCCTTGATCGCCGACTACATCAACAAGTTGTTGGACAAGTCGACCCAAGAGGAGGGCCAGCGCTGGGGCAGGGCCATGCTCAGGCTCGACATGGCTCGAGAAAAGTACCGGAAGAGTCTGCCGCCAACTGCTTAGATTATTGTCTCTGGTAGAGAAAGACAGTCATGAATCATGATCAAGACGGGTTTGTATGATGTTTGGTGACGGGCAAGTGTCGCATGTATGTAGTAGTGAGGGGGAAAGGTCAAGTGCCTCGTGTATTATTAGGGGGGGAGAAAGGCCCAGTGCCGCGGAATATTTGTTTTCTGAGAACATAGCTACCTAGACAGAGCCGTAGCACGTTCACAGCTCATATTTCCATGCCTTCGGTTCGGACATGATTGTCTTACATTCTAGGGAGCCAAATGTTTGACGTCTAACCTCGGACGCCTTGCCGAAAACCTCACGTCGCATTACAAAAGCCGGCCGCTCATACAGGTTCTGAACTTCGAATATTAGGCATCAGTGGAAAACACGCTGGAGTTGTGGACACTGGACAGAAGACGGGACGCCGTCGCCGCATCCGGTCCTACCTCCTGGCGTAACAGTACCTTTACTTGTCATTATAGGGCTGACGTGTAGATCAAGGTAACCTACAGAATGCCAATCTTTCCCCATCTACTAGGTATGGGTAGCGCTCAGTCTCACGCTATCCCATGTCTGTTTGAGCACATTTTCAAGGCACTGGAAGTCGTTGTCAGAGAGGACTGAGGAATGGAGCCACCGCTCCACTACGGCAGGTTCCGTCCCGGGGGCCCGGGTGTGTAATCCCCCAGCAGTTGCTTGCTCTTTCGAACGCGTAGGTATCCACTTACGCATACCCAGGTACCAAGGGACTGTTTGCATCGGAGGAGACAGCAAAACACCTGCCTTTATAAGCGACACGTCGGCCGAGGAGGCTGAACGTTGGCGTTGTCCCAGGGGCGCGGGCATGCTGACGACATCCCACACGTGGGCGTCAAAAGGTGTCTGGGGTCCCCTGTCTATCCTGTAGGGACCCTGATCAACAGCGGTATCGACAGGTCAATAGGGACCAATGTAATGCCAACCAGAACTGCCCAGGCACTCAATTCTTATTGAAGATCGGCATCGCTATTTTGGGGATCCCGACCAACTGACTCTCACTCTAGCCTAACGATTCGTCCAAGCTCTCGCAAACCCTATTCGATGGAAGGGCAAAAGGCCCAACATATGGAGAAAATACCGGATATCTCCTCGGTCTTACGGACTATCGAGCGGGCCACCTTATCTCCACGTGATTTAGACCCGCCAAAAACTGGCGATTGCTCATCACGCAACATGTGCATTGTCTTGCAAATGCGCCCATGTTACCAGCAAGACGTGGCAGACTACCTGCTTTCAATCTACCCCTGAAGGTCCCTATCCAAGACCTGATACATCCTCTTTACACCTGCAGTTTATACCCCCCCAAGATCTCGGGATCGGACCCCGAATACCTAATCAAAATCTCGCCCGTGTCAAAAACACCGGCACGGGGTTCCATCCGGCACACCGCGTCCGGAAACAC